GGAAAAAAAAAAACAGGTACTTGGAAAAAGTGACGAAAGGTAAATGTCTGAAAAATAAGACATATCTATAGGTATCTACATCAAGGCCACAATGGTATTAAAAATTAATATATTCACAGAGAAAGGTGTGTCCAGTTCTCTTGGAGTTGAATGTAAATTGAAGGTACTCTTTTTCATATTTCTAAGGTCCTTATAAATATGTTATAATGAAAAGAGATCATACTGAAGAACATTAAAATAAATCTTATATTTCATTATATATATCTATAGAAACAGAAATATTAAAGCTGCTGTTGTAGGGCCAGTAGTCTAGAAAACAACACAAAGAGAGAAGAGCAATTCATATTACTAAAGAATACAAATTAAGCAATGCACCGTATGACTAGAAAGTTAAATAAAATCAAATACCATATCTGAAACTTAGACATATTGAAGTTTATTGAAGATGGCCTTTTTGTCATGTCCAAAAAGAGAATTTAAGCATTATTAAAGGTGACACCCGTAATTAGGCAGCCATTTAATACTTACTTAGAGCTAACAGTTATTGATTATTTACCTTGAAAGAGGCATTTGCTTTATATTCATCTGATCCTTAAAGCAACCCAGTGAAAAATTATTAATATGATCCACAGTTTAGAGCACGGAAGTCTGATGTTCACAGAGGTTGAGCAAATTGCTCAATGTCACACAGATAGCATGAAGTATTGGTAACAGATGTCTAACACAGGCAACATGATGCCATTACTTATGCTGTCAACCACTGTCTGATTTTGTAATCCAGGAAGTGACCATAAAGCAAAGCATAAGGAACTTGAATGTGGAAAACTTATTTTGATATGATTGGGCTGCCAAACAAAAAAAAGAGATGCAGACAAATTTAAGAGAAAACTTGAAGAAATTGTGAGATTTTCCCTAAAGTCCTGTGATACTTATCACATATATCAGTGGCTTTCAGATTATTAAAATGTATTTTATGTATAACCTCATTGAGTAAAACATGAAACGGAAGCTGTTCTACTCAAAGTAGTAATTAGAGAACCTACAATACTATCCCCAAATCTGTTCCCTGGTCCCCTTGCAACTTCTGACACACCTCAAAAGAATCCTAGGATTCTGAAGAACACAAATTGGAACCCTCTGGGAACTGGACTATCAGGCTTTGGCAGGACCTTAAGGTGATCCAATCCAACTATTCACGTGATGCTCGAAAACCAAGAGCTGTTTACAGTTGTTTCTTATTTTGAATCAGGATTATATTATGAATCATCTTTAAAAGAGGAACATTGAGACAAGTGCTCTACAGACAATAAACATGGCTTTTTCATTCAGTTTGTTTCACACTTCTTAGGTATTTATTGTTAATTAAATGAAACAATGTGAATTGCTGTGTTTGGAAATAACAAAAAATACCAATAACGGCATAATTACAAAGGTGGGAGAAGTAGTCCTCAATTCTCATATAAGTAAAATTGTATGATAATCATATAAAACTCACAGGGTGTCTTAGTTTTGTGTTGCTATAATGGAATAGCCAAAAGTGGGCAATTTATAAAGATAAGGGTTTAGGCTGGGCACAGTGGCTCATGCCTATAATCCCAGCACTTTGGGAGGCCAGCGCAGGCACGGATCACCTGAGGTCAGGAGTTTAAGTCCAGCCTGGCCAACATGGCAAAACCCTGTCTCTACTAAAAATACAAAAAAAAAAAAAAAAAATAGCCAAGTGTGGTGGTGAGCACCTGTAATCCCAGCTACTTGGGAGTCTAATGCAAAAGAATCACTTGAGCCTGGGAGGCGGAGGTTGCAGTGAGTGGAGATCAGGCTACTGCACTCCAACCTGGGTGACAGAGTGAGGCTCTGCCTCAAATAAAACACTCCCACCCTTTTTTTTTTTTTTTTTTTTTTAATCTCATAGTCCTGAAAGCTGTGCCGTTCAAGGACATGGTGCTGGCTTCTGGTAAGGGCCTTGGTTCTGCAACACAACATGGTGGAAGGTCAAATGGGAAGCAGACATGTGCAAAAACGGGACCAAACCAAAGGAGGAACCTTACTTTATAACTACCTTCTCTAATTGAGATTGCATTTATCTATGAGGAAGCCACCCCCGTAACCCAAACATTTCTCACTGGGCCACACCTCCCAAAACTGTCACACTGATGATCAAACTGCAACATGAGTTTTAGTGGGAAACATCCAAATCCTAGCACAAGGTAACTATAAAGATGAGAAGCAGTGCACCTAAAGTGCCTATCAGTGCACAGCACAAAGGATGTTTCACAAAGGGTAGCTCTTTTTGTTATAATTTCTACTGGCTTTTATTTCATAAAAATTATAATGTACTGAACTGAAAATGCACTATACATTTTGTTCATGTTTCTTTTTTTTTTGATGAGTGACCAAGTGTTATTTTTCTATTTTTCTCATCTATTACTTTTAAGATGGATAAAAAAATTCAGTTGGACTTCTGTAGGAGGGCATGGATGAAAAGAGAAAGCCAAATGTATTAAAGTAGAATCAATCTGGCATAGGTTATCTTTGAGTTAAGAATATATTTTTATCACTGTGCTCAGAGATGTAATCAGTTAGTAAATGCTCTGATAATTCTGGTTTAAAAGAATAGGGCTGCTTAGAAGAAGAAATAAAATGCCACACTGGATATTAGAGGATATCGGTTTCCTGGAACAGTAACTATAGGTGTTCATTCAGAGTGACATATATAACAGAGATTTCTGCTTAAGCCTGTCCACCACTGGGATTGAAACATGTCACAAAGCATGGCTAGCAAACTGGTAGGATGAGCCAGCAATTACATGTTTGCAAAAGGAATTGAGGAGTCTCCTAGGGGAGACGTCTTCCTCAGAAAAGAGGCAGTCAGGCAAACCCTGTTGACTTGATAAGAGCTGGTCATCAAAGGGAAAATAAATCATGAGGACAGCATGGTGTGTTTCCCAAAGATTTTTCCTTTGACATAAGGAAAATGTAATTTCAAATGAACTCATATCTCCATCTAATAGAGAAAGGAATGATACAAAGTTCTGATAAAAGCTTGTTCACTAAAATCTCTATAAAATTTGGATAGCACAGGAATAATATCTTACCTTTTCTTTTTGGTACCTGTAATTAATATGTACATATTCAATTCTAAACAGACGGAGATAGTCTCTTCATTTCTACACAAATACAACATGGCTTTATTTCACTAGAGAACTTACACTTTCAGGAGAGTTTAATACATTTAGAACCCCAACAAAACAGCTGTCAAAAACAGCTATTGGCGGTGTCTAGTGTAAGAAGACTAGAATGGAAGAAGTTTAAAAATCAGATGCTTCATAATAGCTGACAGGATTTGGTTTTGAAGTTGAGGGACACTCCCAGAAGAATTTAGGAAACAGTGTAGCAAAAGGAAATTTATGGGGAGGCAAAAAGTACTTCAACAGCAAGTACGGCAAGGCACGTAAGTAAGGCAAGTGCCAGCAAAACTTGGGTTGTATGAAATGCCAGATGCTGCAGATACAGGAATAAACCTCACGAGAGCAGCTTCTGCTCCTAGGTGCTTCCTATTCTGGGGTCCAAGTTGTTCCAGATGCTTCTTAGAGTTAATCTGGGCAGTTTTGCAAGTTGGCAGTTGTTCCAGTTTGTGCTTCCACAGGAGGAAATTTGTGTTCTCTTTAGGATGAGTACAACACTCTCTCTTCTAGGCAGATTTTGAGTAGTCTTCTAGAAATACTGGAATGTACCCTCTTCCACCTACTCTATTATAAGAAAATTATGGAGAGCTGATACCTTATTTTTGATTCAAAAGAGTGCTCTTTGATTTATCAAAAGATAATTGTGCTGAAGATGAAAGTGTCCCTCTCAGCTCTCCCAGTGCAGAGTGTAAGTAACTGGCCCTGCTGCTGCACTCAGAAATTCATCAGCGAGTTGGTGCCAAAGCCACTGCTGACAGTCTGATAACTCAGCATGGTAGGCTACTGAGGCAGGTTCATTCCTGAGAGGTACTAGACTATACTGATGGGCACTTTGGCTTGAAGACTCTTCATCAACTTTTCCAAAACTACCTTAGAACTCTGCTATAGTTTTGTGGTCTTTTCTACCCAAGCGTCCTTCCTTCCCCTCTCCTCCACAGGAGGATCTGCATCATGGACTTATGGCTTTTCCGACCTCTGGCTTTATTTTTGCAAAGGAAAAGAAATCATTATGACAGCATAGTGTTTCTCCCAAAGATTTTTCCTTTGACGTAATTCCAAAGGAACTCATATCTCCATCTAAGAGAGAGGGAAAAGACTTATGAAGTTTTGCAAAAGCTTGTTCACAAAGTCTCTATAAAATTTGGATAGCACAAGAATAATATTTCACCTTTTATTTTTAGTATGTGTAATTAATGTGTATTCAACTCTTAAACCAACAGAAGTGTCTTTTTTTTTTTTGTCTCACATGCATTTTCCTTAATTATGCTCTTGCATACTTAATCCCGACTTGGTGTACAATTTCCAGATAACCCAAATTAATACAATGAATAAATGAAAATATGTTCCATAATTGCCTTCACTATAGCTGGAAAGCAAGTGGAGATCTGATGAGCAAGTTAGATCCTGTGATCAGACCCCATGGTAGTGTGCAGTATAGCTGAGACATAGGCTCCAATCCTACCTCTGTTTTTCATCTGTAGCAAATGGTTTTTATTCTCCTTAGATTCCAGTCATAGCTGTGACAGACAGTTACAAGTTACGTATGTCCACTGTCTCAAAACCCTCAACCAATGGAATCATGTATCAATGGATAAGCGGCCTAGCACCCACCCCCTACTGCCCCTGGCTTTAGATAGATAGCTCCGGAAGGCATTCCACGTGTTTCTCAGAGGTCCCTGCAGGGTTGACTCCTCTTGTCTACAGCAGCAGCCACACACCCATTTTTGGCTTTCTTCCCTCTCCCACTCTCCATCTCTTTCTTCTGCTTCCTGGGATAACTTCCAAATAAACTACCTGCATCTGTCTTTGTCTCAGGTTCCACTTTGGGGGAACTTATACATGGCACCGTTCCTATAAAATGAGGAAAATAGCTTTGAAGATGATGATCTACTTCCATCATGAACATTCTACCAAGCGTGAGTATGGCATCTATGGCACCCTCAGCTACATTTAATCATTCAACTCTTCTGCACACACTGGGCCCCAGCCATACCAAACAAACCAAACCAAAAGATCTGGGTTACCCACATCACTATACCTTTCATGTGCTCATCTTACCTTCTTTGCTCATCTGACTGAAGAAACAAGGAAAACTCATTTACTGGTTCTGACCCTTCAACTCTTCTCCTCCCATACCCACCCCAGCAACAAATCTGTGGTAGATCCATGGGCCTCTGCAATAGAACCTATTATCTTGCATTACAATTGTTAGTTCCTACGCCTGATTTCCTTATTCGAATAGAGGATAAGGGGAAAAAATTTCATCTTCTAGAATGGCTTGCACATTTTCTGGTCCTTGGAAGTTTCTCAATACATTTTTTTTGTCCATAAATGAGTGAAACAATTAACAAACTAACATTTTAAGCAGGGTTAAAATATTAAAATATGATGTAGTGTATGAATGTAAAGGCTTTCATGTTACCTATCTTGTTCTGAATACATGTATATGATAATAATGACTTTTAGTTAATGATTAAGCCTTTAATCACTAAGTTTGGTACCATAATTAAAGCAAATATTTATTTTAGTTATTAAAGAACTGATGCATCCCAATAGTTTTCTTCCTTGTCTGTTCTGATCAGAGAATCTCATTTACCATGTAGAGGTTTAAAATGAGAAAAAGAAATTCACTACCATAGACTCACACTGTAGTGCCAGCGAAAAGTCCAAAGAAATTTTTTTAAAAAATTAATTTTTTTTTTTTTGAGACAGACTCTCGCTCTGTCACCCAGGCTGGAGTGAAGTGGCATGATCTTGGCTCACTGCAAGCTCCGCTTCCCAGGTTCATGCCATTCTCCTGCCTCAGCCTCCCGAGTAGCTGGGACTACAGGCACCCGCCACCATGTCCAGCTAATTTTTTTTGTATTTTTAGTAGAGACGCGTTTCGCCATATTAGCCAGGATGGTCTTGATCGCCTGACCTCATGATCCACCCACCTTGGCCTCCCAAAGTGCTGGAATTACAGGCATGAGCCACCATGTCCAACCATGAAAAATTAAATCTTTAGCAGTAGAATTAATGAAATGAAATGTTTTTGAATGACAATGATAAACTACAACAAAAATGAATTTTAGAAAAAAAATAAAACAAGCACATCTTCCATAAGAGTATTCAAGAAATGAGAGAAGGAAAAAATAAACACTATGAAACAGAAAATAGTATGTATAAACCATATATTTTTTATATTAGAAGTGGATTATTCAAATATCTTTATATCAATATATTTTAAAACAAATGTTATAATATATTGTCAAAATTTATTTAAAAATTAAAGTGAAAGAGTATGAAATATAATGTACATATATTTTACAAAATGTTTCTTATTTCAGAGAATAGCAAAAAGGATTGCTGTTCTATACATTTTCTAAATCTATCAGAAATATTGTTATTAAATCTAATCAAGAAATATTTTTAAAAAATAAAATTATAGACCAATCTCACTTATAGATATAAAAGTCCCAAATAACATATTACCAGATCGAATCAGTTTTCAAATGTAATAATCAGATCCAATTTACTTTCAGAATTCAAAACTATTTCAATTTCAAAAAACTAAGTATTAAAATTAACCACATTAATAAATCAAATTTCCAGAATTATAATATCTAACCATATTTAGTACTTGTTCATGCATTTTTTAAAATCTCTTAGAAAACTAGAAGTAGGAAAAAATGTTTTATATCACAAAAGACGTGTTCTAAAAAATAACCGTAAGCATTAGAATACAAATTTAAAAGTATTTTCTTGACAGGAAACAGAAAATCAATGATACAATTCCTTTCATTCATTATTTTATTAGAGTTATCAACAATGCAGAAAATGGAATGGCAATAGATAGTGAAAAAGAGGAGATTAAACCTCTCATTTTTTAAAGACAATGTGATTATCCAGAAGTTTCAAGAAAAACAGTAAATTATGAGAACACCAAAAAAATCAACACATTTTTAGCTGCAAGATTAGGCTTCAAAAATATATAACATTTTATACACCAAAAATAATCCAAAAATGTAGTAGAAAAGATATGTACAACAGCAATAATAAAATAATGTTTTATTATAAGGTAATAAGGAAAGAACCCAATTGAAACAAACATATATTTTGATTATACACTTCACCAAGAAGAGATAAATAAGCACATGAATAAATACCCATAAAAGGATGCTCAACATTATTATTCATTAGTAAGTGAATGTAAATTAAAACATAAATAAGATGCCATTACACATCGCTGAGAATGGCCAAAATTATTTAAAAGTGAAAGTACCAAGTGCTGGTGATACTACATAGCAACTAGAACTCTCATATAGTACTGGTAAGAATGCAAAATGTTAAAGTCATTTTGGAAAATAAATAGGCTGCTTTTTTATAAAGTTAAAAATATTCTTACCATATGACACAGCACCCAAACTCCTAGGTGTTCGTTCAAGAGAAGTAAAAGTGTTTGTTCACACAAAACCTGTGAATGAATGTTTATTCGTAATCACTACAAAGTTGAAATAAAAAAAAATGTTCACCAGTAAGTAATGGAGAAGTTATGGTACATCCATTCAATGGAATACTACTTAGAACTAAAAAGGAGCAAATTACTCTTTCATAGAACAACATGACTGTATCTTAAAGCATTTTTGTAAGCAAAGAAAATCATACATGCTGTATGATTCATTGATATAATACTCTAGAAAAGGTGGAACTATAGGAACAGAAATAAGATCAGTGGTTACCAAGGGCTACTGATAGGAGAGTGGGTTAACTACAGAGAGATACAAGAAAACTTTTTGGAACTGTCTTAGTCCATTTTGTCTGCCGTAACAAAATACCACAACCTTTGTGGCTTATAAACAACACTCATTTCTCATGGTTCTGGATTCTAAGAACTCCAAGATCCAGGCACCAGCAAATTTAATGTCTGGTGAGGACCCCTTCCTCATAGATGGTGGCTTATTCCTGTGTCCTCACATGGTAGAAAGGATAAGGCAGCTCTCTCTGGCCCCTTTAACGAGGGCACTAATATCATTCATGAGGATGGAACCCTAATGACCTGATCACCTCCCCAAAAGCCCTATCTCCTAATACCATCCATGACCTTGGGGGTTAGAATTTCAATACATGAGTTAGGATTGGGAGGACACAAACATTCAAACCACAGAAGGAGTGATAGAAATTCTATATTCTGAGGTAATAGTTACATGACTTTATACATTTGTCAAAACTCATTGAACTGTATACATTAAAACAGTTTATTTTAATATATAGTTAATTAATATACTGAAATCATTATAATTTCTCTATAAATTATAGCTCAATACACCCAACTTCAAAAATAGAAGGCATATGGGGACCTAGAGAATGCATGAATAAAAGGGAAAATATATTTACAATCTTTAGATTTGAAAAGAATTATTAAAGATATAAATATTTTAAATCACAAAATTTAATGCAATTACAATTCAAACACCTTGTAATTTCAAAAGCAATTTCTAACATTTACACCAAAGAGCTAAAGGACTATTAGTAAGCACAATATTTTGAAGGAGCATAGGTTAGGGTAACTTGCTTTAATCAGATATCAAAACTTATTGTAAAACTGTAGTAGTTAAGATCTGTAATATTTGTTCAGGAAAAGATAGATCAATAGGAAACAGATGAACAATTAAGAAAAGACTAAATGTTTTCTGGGACCTTTTTATACACTACAGGAGGAATTAAAAATCAGAGGGGAAACTGTAGTTACTCCATAAACAATGCCAGAGCAATACATGTCCATAATAAAATTTAATACCTGAGTCAAACCGTACATAAAATTATGTATGAGATACAGACATAAACACACGAAAAAAGAAAGTTTTAAAACTATACTTAAGACTAATATAACATTTTGGCAGAGATTTTTCTTGAAAAAGACATAAATCATAAAGTAAGAAATTAGCAATTCCTAACTATAATAACATTTAAAATTTCTATATTAAAAGGGGACTATAACGTTAAAAGAAAAGCAATAAGCTGGAAAATGTAACCAACATATATTACAGACAATACAAAAATTTAAATAATTCTTATCAGTCAATAAGAATTTGATAAAAGATAATCCAATAGAAACTAGGCAAAGGACGTGTATCATTTACTCAAAAAACAGGTAACAGTTGAATAGGTATAAAACAAATAGTAGTGGTTGGGGAAAAGAATGCAAAACAAAATGAGATACCATTTCAAATTCATTATAATGGCAAAAGTTATAACTATTCCAAATGATAGGAGGATGTGAGAATAGATCGCTGACACACAGCAGGTGGAGATGTAAATCAATACCAATTTGTTTTAGACGGCAACTCTTGAAGTGGAAAATAAGCATATCCTACAACCCAACAGTTCCGTTCTCCCCATACTCTCACATATGCATGTAAAGATAAATGCACAGGGATACCCACTAGCCTTTTTGTGTAATAGGGAGAAATGGAAACAACTCAAAAAGCTATCAATAAAGGGATGGAGAATTAAATGATAGTTCATATATACAATGGAATACTTACATATAGCATGAAAATAAATTATATTCACTATAAATGGTTTAATTTACATGAGGTTATTCAAAAAGGTAATGTTGAGTAGACAAAAACATGTTATAGAATAATATGCAGAATATAATACTATTGGATATATATTAAAAACATAGTATTTTGGTATCTTTTCAGGGATACATGTGTATGTAATAACAATTTTAAAATCTAGACAAATGAGGTACTAAAATTAATAATAGTGATTTTCTTTTGAGGGGTGGGGTGAAGAAAATCTACCTTGTAGAAGAACATAGGAAACTTGAACTTTATCTATTTTATTTGTTTATGAAAAATAAACAAACTATAGCTAATACATCAGGCTAACCCCAAATGTGATTAGTAGAGACAATGTTTAGTCATTTG